GGTTGTTTATGAGCGAAATAATAGAAGACTTATCATTTTATTACAAAAAGCTGCGTCGCCAAGGGTATTTGTTGGAAATAGATCGAAAAAGAGACTTAAACAGAGAATTTCTTCCAACAAAAGAAAGATTAAAATTTTTCTATCTCACCTACCTTTTTTCATTCAAAATCAGTAACTCAAACAACTACTTGATTCTATAAAACATATGATAGTTCAATGGTCAACGTTAGAAATTCATATCATAAATTGCATAATTTTTCTGCAACGTCTTGTGTAATCCAATTTTAACAAAATACCGCTACGGCGGCCAATTAAACAAGTAGTAGTAGACGTGTAATCAAACTTGCAAAGTGGTTTCAACATAACGACCTGCATTTGCTTTGGCAATAAATCTCAAGATCTTTTTCTATTTCTAGGACAGTCCAGATCAAAGTTTTTTCATAATTTCATGTTTGTAGAACGCATTTGGTATTTCCACTTATTAACTTTTTGCTCCGGTTTATCAAAGGAAGCATTTCTTCTCGGTTCTCCATACTGCATTCTTTTCGATGCGCTTAACGTAGCATGCGCTTTTGATGAAACAGCAGGTGAGAAAAGATTTTTGACTTTTACTTTGCTTAATTTTCACACTCGAAGGCGTCTTTTTATCCAGCTATGCATCCACGATCCCATTGCATGCGATATGCAGTATACATGTGCAACCAAGTAACGAACGCCGTTCAAAAACGAATTTACAAGCATAAACCATTCGTACGAGCTTTTTTACTTTGTTTTTTTTTATTTCGCTTATTGTACTTTCAATACACTCCCTACAACCTCGCTAATTATTTTTAACTGGATTGAAGAAATTAAACGAGTGTCTTCAAGCAGCTGTAATGAAAAGAATCAATTCGTTTTCATTGTATCGCGGGCTGCAAGCTAAAAGCTCTCCTTTGATACCATAGAAAACAGCGCACATCACCTTTATTTTTCCACCTTACAACAAAACCTTATGAATGTCTGCTGGACGGCTACCGAAAAAAGTTGTGAAGGTTTTAACGAGCGAGCGGCTTGGCGCCTAACTACTTAATAAAACACAGTGTCACTAGGGTTTACGCAAACGCCAAAACCGTGCAGTCTTCAGTATAACTCCGTTTGAATGAAAAAGGAACAGTACCCGTTTATATGCAGAATGCGCTGAAAAATTGTATAGGTCTACTAAGCATACAAATGCCTCTAATGTGTAACGTATGCTTGCTGCAGTTAATTGGTAAAAACTTTGTTGAGTCCTTTTGTATGTAGTATTTTGCTTGTAACGTTTTGTGCTCCCAAAGTGAAGCAAGACCAGAAGACCGCTAAAAAAAGTTGTGCTCAAGTGCCGTGCACCAGTATGCGGCAGATCGTCATCAAGTGAACGGTGTACTCGCTAGTTGTTGATCCGTTCAATTTTGACGCTCATATCACACCTATTTCAACAGCTAGTATAACGCATTAAAAGCAGTGTATAGTCAAAAAAATAATTTAATAAATTATGTAATGCAATTAGCGAGGATATCATGGACATATAGGTAGAACCGCGCATTCATGGTTTACCAATTAGGCCGTGTCTTCTGAATGCTTCTTAGCGGAACTCGCGCTGTAACTGGTCACGTTAGTCCAAAGATTTTGGAATACTACTCTTACCAATTTCGCGTAGGCTGTAGCTTCTATTCGTGTTCAGACATCCAGAAAGGCCGGAACTTATTTTGGCTTCCTTTGATCCGCTAGATTATGTCGAAAAACGCTGCAAAAAGTGCAGTGGCAGTCGCGCATTTTTGATCATTCTTGGTTGCTCCGCCAACCAAATCAGTGCCTTTGGATCAGCTGTGTTGCGAACCCAGGTGCTCTGCGGCTCAAATCTCGTGCTATCGCGTCACTGCTTTTCTTCAACCTTGCGGATCTTTGCCTGATACTGCCTTTGAGTATTGTCGGCTTCCAAAGGGTTTCTAGGTGGAGCAAGAGGGAAAATTCAGGGATGAGGCTGCGCAAACATCATTCTTAACGTGACATCCATCCGTTGTCTAGTTATCAAAGTTAGCACAACTGCGTCGCTGCAGTGGTCCTGCTGGTTTTGCCTAAATTCACCTGACGGCCGACGATATACTCAAATATTAGTATGGAAGAACTCAAACTATAAAAATAGCCCCATGTCGGTATAGCTCACGGATGCTATGCAGTAGTCTCTCAGCAAGAAGGGTTCTTAACTTGTAAGAAGTTTCTTTTTCACAGACTTTGTAGAGGAAAAAGAAAAAAAGAATGATGAGATCTGCTTAGTGGCCATATCTTGTCTTCGTTGATCAATCGTTCGTTTGAATAGTAGTTCGTTAACAAATTTGATACTTTTTGTAACATATTTATGGAGAAAAAGTTACGTCATAGCCAAATATATGCGATGAAAAAGCATGTTCAGATCACGTTTATCACTTTTCGCTGATTAGCTCTGGTGCACGTAAGGCAATTTCGAACATACTGCCCTGTAAGATTTTGCTGAGGCAAATTGAATTTGAAAGTAGCAACATTTAATAAAAACATCTGCAAGGTTGAGTTAGCCAACTCTGATACGAACGAAATATGCTAAAAACAATATAGCATATTTTGTTCGTATCAGAATATAGCAATATACTCACATTATAAAGTCTGGCCTCCACTCCAAGTTGCTTTAGAATTAGTACGAGCATCGATGCTTGGATACCTTTATTGCATGCTGTCACCGTTGGAAGCTTAGGATTAAATCCAATCTTTTTCAAAACTAAATTGCATGAGTTTACTTGTTTGAATGTCATCTCGGCGGTGAAGAAAGAAAAAAAGCAAACTTTTGCTACCTTTTTCTATTTCTGGCTTCGATTTCATTCCATTCTCACCTATAACATCGTCTATAGGTAAGTTTTTTGCCTCCTTCAAATGAAATCCAGGGACTCCTAAAGAATTTAAAAATATTTGAGAGACAACAGGATTAAAAACTCTGTCTAAGAACGTAAAGTTTGTTTTTGTACTTAGCAACAGAATAAAAAAACGATTGAAGAAAATAATGCAAATATGAGAGTGATGCGAATCGGGCTTTTCAGCTTTTCGGATCAAAAGAAAAACAAAACAGAAATCACATATGAGAACGCAAAAAGTTTAAAGGAGAAGAGAAAGAGCCACTTTACAAATTTGTCACCTCTGACCTTTAGTGGATATTTGTAAAGGAGCAGCACCAACGAACTCGGCTGCCGGGCGGCCGTCCAAGAAATTTATCTACAATAATCGTAAATGTCTTTCAAACAACAATGATTATGAAAGAAAA